AGGTTTACCCTTGTTCCATCGATGACGGACCGAATCGATCTCTCAGCCATAGCATTGGTCTTAGAGACGTATGCAAAGCTCGTTTGATGCCTCCATCCTAGCCTCTCGGCAGTCGCGATGAGTTCCGGTGAATTGTCGGAATAAAATACTCCTACATCATCAGTCGAACGGACAAAATGCTTGAAGGCTGCTATGCATTCACGTGTTGATCGACGTGCGGCCGGATAGACATACCTGAAATCCGTTGCCACGTCTTTCACGACTAATGCGACGCGAGCCCCATCGATGTCCATTTCCTCATCGTCACGAATAACAAGATGGTCAGCAGTCAAATGTTGCCCGAAATGATCCGCCTCTACCTGGGTTGAACCACCCTTGCTATACGATGGACGTTTAGTCATCTTTGCTCTCGAGCAGGCTTGACAAAAGGGGTTCTTTGGGGTATGAGTCAACAGATGTTGAATGGATTGTGCTTCTTCCTTGAGAGCTCTCTCTCCCCTATCCCTCTTCGGGTCCAACGGCTTCTCCACCAACCTTTCATCCACCGGCTCGGGATCATCTTCAACAGGATCCTCGCCAATGGGGTTGTCCTCATCGTCCTGGACTTCAATTGCCTCTTCAGCCGGTGACGCGGGCAGAGGGATCATTGGTCGCAGCCCTTTTGACCGATCGTTCGTACCGTAAGGTTGACCTATGGCGGACATTGCAACACCGGTGGTTGATGGCAAGTATGGAACATAATCCTCTACTTCAAGCTTGACTTTGGTTCCGTCTGGTTTCTTGAAGTACGGCCTACTGTAAGCGGGCCAATGGAAGCTCCATCCTGCGTCGATGCAGCGTTGTCCTACCGATACGACGGCTGGGCTATCTTCCAAGACATAAGGATTGATATCAGTTCCCAACACGGGAACATTGACTCTGGCTTGATCAGTGGCTTGAAAGACTCCGTTGGCAGTAAGAAGACTGACCGGTTTGGACGATTGTGACACTTCATCCGAATGTAGCATGTGTCTAGATACAAGATCGTGTGCGCTGCCAGTGTCTGCAATCCATGCAATCTCAGTGGCTGGCACTGTTGGACATGACCTCCTCTCAAAACACTTGATGCAACCTATATCAGAGTTGCACAGGTACGAACATTCTGCCGGCAAGGACAACAGCTCGTTCCTGACAGCATTCTGAAGGTGTGATGCTGCAATGGATGCGTCCTCAGTGGCGACACGAACTGCCTCAGCATGCTCCGGTCGACCTGGTGTAAAGGGTCTTCGTTTCTTCTTACTCCGGGGTTGGACGGATCTCCAACTGGAAGAAGACTCAACAGCATGATCGAAAACGTTTGGATGATCGTCAAAACGAACTCTTTGCGTAACAAAACTGTCAATGTTTTCTGTGTTGTCAAAATCGGTGCACATAGTGTTTGATGCGGAAAGGACTGGCATGGCCACGCTTCCCAGCGGGCGAGTGATGAGGACGGAGGATCCCTGAGAGACCACTGCGGCCATGACCACTGCTCGAAGGAGGCATACCGCTGCCGGTGCATTGGAAGGAGAAGACTTCCCACCTTTTCTCCTCTGACTCTCAGAGCCAGTTGAGTTTTCGGAGCCTGATGATCCTCGTGAGCTGCTTCGCTTGCGAGGTTTCTTGTCTTTCTTCTTCTTCTTCTTTTTGTCCTCTTTCTTCGCAGGGACAGTCTTTTCAGGGTGTTGGAATGCGCAGTCTTTCCCTCGGTGGCAATGACCTGCCTTCCAAAACTTGCAAGTCTCCTTGCGAGATCCTGGTGTCAACGATCTTGACCGAGATTGGCTGCGATCCTTGCTCTTTCCCTTTCCTTTGCTTTTCTCGCGGCCTTTTTCGTGCTTGTAAGGACATGATGATCCGCGCTTGCATTTTCCGGTCTTTTGGAACTCGTAGCAGACGCCTTTCTTCTCCTCCGGAGCTGGCATGGTTGTGTCTTTGGACCCTAGCGACCGCTTCGTGGCGTCGCGCATCTTTTCCAACCTCTTCCGTTCGAGGTAGGCCCGGGCAGCAGTGATCAGGAAGTCATATGTTCTTTCTTTGCTTCCATCGGCTGCACGGTCGTACAAGGCCAAGTCATGCTCAAGCGGCTTGAAACGCTTCACTGCCAGGTGAAAATAGGCTTCCAGAACACTGTTTTCTGGTTCCTTTTTCATTCCGACAAGAACGCTATCCCATTTATTTATAAAGCCCTTGAGGTCATCGTTGACCATTTTGACGGACATGAGGTCTTCGAGTCCGTAGATTGCTCCATGCTTTATGCTTGTGGCAAAATACTCGTGGAACCGAAGGAGCAAGTGTCTGCCCTTCACGTTCTTGTCTTCACGAGCACGCAACTCCTTGAATGTAGCAATCTGCCGACCAAGGTCCCCCTCAGCGCAATTGGTTAAGCTTGCAAGAAGCTTTGCGTCGAGGGTTGCAAATCCCTCTGAATCATCCAAGGCGTCAATGGTTTGGGAATCTTTGTATACTTTCCCAACCCAAGATCTTGCTTCATCCGGCTTCGCTGAAGCTGCAGCAATATTGTCCCTCACCTTGATCTTCCAGTCTCTGTACTTCTCAGGCGTGGGGAACTTGGGAATGAGAATTTTGTCAGCTTCTTTGGCTTTACTCTCATGATCCTTGTCTTTCGACTTCCTTTGCTGCTTCTTCAACTCTTTGCGAATGATGCGTGCAAGACGCGATGATTCAGAGCTTGAGTCATTTGAGTCATCACTCCCTCCTGATGAACTGGGCGACGATGGTGATGGGGAAGGAGAGCGTTTCTTTCTGCGCTCCCTCGAGCGGCCCCTCTTAGGGCTCTTCTCTTTCTTCTTATCCTTACCTTTCTTCTTCTTGTCTTTCTTTGATTTGTCACCACCCTCTTCATCAGCATCGGATGGATGAGGCTCATCACCGCCTTCGATCCCGGGCTTCTCCAACTGAGTCCGAAGGCTCGCTGGAGGCAAAGCTGGGGACACCTGAGACCCAGGTGGCTGCACTGGTGGTGCAGGCACTCGGTTCCCCGAGGCGTTGTCAAACCTCTCTCTCAACTCCTTGATGATTCGACTCTGTTCTGCTAACTCTGACCGAAGTGCATCCCCTCTTTGCTTAGCAGAGGCGCGTTCGTTCTCAACGACGGTGTGTCGTTCGAGCGAAATGCGATCTAGGTAAGCCCGTTGTTCTTGAAGATTTTGATTTTGATGGGCTTGGTTCATGTCACTCAATCGTTGATTGGCTAAAGCCTCAATCTGTTCCCTAGACTCCTGGACAGCCACTTTAGCTTGGTTCTCCACTACGTCTCTAAAATGCCTAGCCTCCTCAGCTACTTGTTGCCCGTGCTCGGCCAAAATGGCCTGATGCCGCAACTCTGCGATCTGAGCTACCTGTGCTGACCTGTCCTCATTGACGAAGACTGCTTGTTGATGGATCTGTCTCGCATCAACGTTCTGAACATTCATCACAGGAGAAAACTCAGGTCGAAACGGCGATGGTGCTTGACCACTAGGCAACAGGTCCCCCTGTGCACTGAACGTTGGTGGCGCAATTGGTACACGCAACTCCAGCGGAACAACAGGGAGATCAGCAGCAGGTGAACTGGACATCGCAGGCGAAGTAGGAACGTAGCCCGATCGTGAGCGGTCACCACGGGAACCATCATCATCAGCCATGGCCTCTAGATAGTGCACTACCTAGGGTGGGGTAAGACCACAGCTAGTAGAAAGCACGTACCGCACTTATGGCGATACGGCTGATAACCTGTGGTTACAGGTAAACGACCGAGAACTACCAATAAGTCGCACCTGGTTTTCCTTGAGCCAAACGGTAGTAAAGTGAGACATGTATACGACATCCTAGCGTGAAACAACAAGTAACAAGTGCATCGCTACTAGCAACAGGTGCATCGCTAGTAGGAACAGGTGCATCGCTATTAGAAACAAGAATTAGAATTGAGTATCAATCTACAACCTGAGGCTGCCACCCCTGCACGCCCAGTCTGTTGTGCATAGCGCTGCCGCATTTGAGCAACTGGCACAAATGGCATTTTGGGCATCAACCACTGTGCACCTTGTCTAGACAAAATAGGTGCCACTGTCAACAACAACACTTGCACGGTTTAGACCTTGAAATTGATACAAGAATGCTTCCAGGTTTCTTAGAACGACCCTTTTTTTGTTGCGCAAACATTTTGAACGGCCTTCTTTGAACCCTGAAACCTACCTACCACATCCTACCACCTCCATTTTACATCGTGTTACGCTTTGCCTGCTTGCGCGATTGGTGGCCAGCCCTTCAAGATGAAGGCCTTGGCCAGTTGCTTCTGACCCCACGAGTGGAAGCGGAACCCACAATGTCACAACTCATTGAGGCAACTTCACTGCCACGTCGGGTGGTAGCTTCACCCAGATGCTTCGATTCATTACTCACCCATCACTCACCCATATAGGATGTCAATGTCATACTTCATGTTGCGTTCGTCAATGCATGGCCAGGCTTATCAGTGCTCTGAGACACAGGGAACCCAAATATCTCAGAGCGCAGCTCGCCAAAAAAAACCGGAGTAAGGAAAATACCTGCTGCATTTGCACAGCTCCGGCAAGCAAAGGTGAGAAAGGTTGTGCAGCAAACAAAGCAATTCTTACGTAAAGTGGAACTCGACGCACGTCGATGCTGTGGCCCAACATGGTCCAATCATGGTCCAATCCATTTCAGGACACTTAAGCTCTGTGGTGGTGCCCCGCCTGCCAGCAAAGCAGAGAATGACTCCAGCTGTGGCGGCCAAAACGCCTGCGCGAGTGGCGATGCATCCCCAAGAATACAGTCACTACTAGTAGCGATGCCCTTGTTCCTAGTAGCGATGCCAGGAGCTACTCGTAGCATCCTGGTGCATGCTGCATACTACATCAATCCACGTCAAGCCTTTGAAGCTGCGGCCGATGATCCGTGCAGCACAATCAATAGCAAGCAATTCACTCATAGCAATGACCCGTGCTCGCCAAGTTTTTTGGGGCTGCAGCGCGCAAGGTGCAAGTACCGACTAGGAGAAAAGCTGAGCAAATTGAACAAGCTCCAAACGAGCCAAGTTTGCTACGAACCAAACATTGAAGAACATCCTGAGCATATGGTCGTATGCATTTTGCCCGCAGGGAAGTCCAGGCGTCCTGTGTCAAAAAAGGTACTCTAAACCAGGAAAGTCCTAGCAACACATCCGGGGACCAGCAAACCCCCATGGCACAGACCGCCACGACCGGTAGCCCGGCAAAGTCCTTGCAATCAAGATTTCCCAATGGCACAGCGTGCTTGATGCCCATAGAAATCACGTATTTTGTATGTGGTTTTGGTGGGACTTCGCATGGCACAGCGCCAAGGAACATGGCTTTGTCATGCTTTGTCACGAACCTGTTTTGGATGGAAACACTGTGGTTTGCATGGCAGGGCCTACTACCTGTCAATGTCTTTCATCCTAAGAACCAGCATGGCACAAAGGTTTCATGGTAACCTGGACATGGTACCCACCGATGGGAAAGCAACTAACCTTTCTGATCCTAAATTGATCTTTGGGTCGAACTGCTTGGCACAGATGTGGTGAGTTCAGGACATGGCCCACCAAACCATTCAGCGACAGCGAGCAAAGATTGTTTTCTCACTTTGCTCTTCGCACCTTGCTGGGTCTCACGAACCTGCACTTCCGGTTCTCTTCCCAAGCTTCCAACCACTTCGTGCGAGCTTGGGTATTCTTGAGGCCACCAACTTTCTTGAGCTCTGCAGACATTATCTTGTAGAGCGGCATTGACTTCCTGACTTGGGGCTGTAAATGCTCTCGCACAAAGAAATCTGCCACTGGCCGCACACGCTCTCGCCTCTCCTTGGAAAAAAGAGAAGCCAAATAGTGCACACAGCCATCGCATGTGTTCAAATCCCATTCCTGGTCACTTTCATTGACCTCAGCCGACGGTTCCTTCCCACTGGCAGCAGCTGCGCCGCTTTCAGGTTCTTTGGAAGGCGGAAGCGCTGCTGAATCAGAGGTCTTTTGTTTTTTGGTCCTAGAGCGCAGTTCTGCCAACAAATCTGTCACTGCTTCACGGCTGAAACTTGTATCGCCCTCGGGTACCTCCACCTCTGAAGCACTCTTCCACCCTGACCTTTTGCCATCACGGTGCACCTCATAGGTACCCTTCTCGAAATTTTCATTGGGAATGGAACAGTTTTGACAATACTTGCTTGTTGCCAAGACCCAGACCTGGCACGCCTTACAGCGGGACTTGCTAGGTGAGCACTTCTCAATGACTTGCATCAGGGGCGTCTGCGGCTTCTCGGCGTATTTGTAGCTTTGGATCACCTCGCTGTATCGTTCAACCAAAACGACATCTCTGTCTATAGACCTTCCAGCTTTCAGACCCACCCTTGCCCACCCAGCAGCAGCCCTTTGCTCTGTCAGAGACTCTTGGGTGATCTCTCTGATTGCTTGAAGGGCCTGGTACATATTCAAGTTGTTCTTCCACTTGCCTTTGAAGGCGGACCAAAGCCGAGCCATGCAAGCATGTGGCTCTTGGTCAAGAGCGCACAAAGCCCGGGTCAAATAACCTCTCAGCATGTACGGCCGTATGCGATGCGTCTCGCACAGGGACAGGAATTGCCACGAGAGGTGCATATATGCACCCCCGCCTGAGTCCATGATGAGCAGGATTTCTTTCTCTTCAACTTTTCTCATGGGCTCAATGAGGCACTTGAGAAGGAAAAGACAAAAAATAGAGCTAGTGCTGGATCCTCCACTGTTGCCCTCAATGCAAGCTTCTGGCCAAATTTGTTTCATGGTATCGTTTGTGCCTTTTGTTGGCACCACAATTCCACACGGTAGGACCACCTTTGAAGGAAGCGGGGCCAAGGGAAGCCAGGAAGTGCAAGTAATGTGTTCCCAAGTGGCTGTCGAAGTCATTGTGGAGGCTTTGTTCTTCAAGCTGTTGCTAATGACTCCTTTCGAGAGATTGTCAGCCCTCTGCGAAAAGCCTTTCTCGTCCACCACAATCACTCTATGGGCTTGGTCAGCTTTGATTCTACCGTCCGAATCGGAAATTCCCAACTCTCTCAGGAGTGCTTCCCACTCGTTGTAAGTCTTCGTGATCGTCTCTGCATTGCAAGCTGTTGCTTCTACCGGTGAGCGGGCTTTGAGTTTCGCAACTGTCAGCCACTCACTTTTCGGCTGCGTCGCCTTGACCCACTGTCGAAAGGTCTCCCAACGGCTTGGAACATCAAAGTCGTCCATCCTAGTCGGAGGTCGCTGAAGCAGTGGCTCTACAACTCTAAAGCTGGGGACAAAATAAACTTAAAATGAACAAATGAAGTGAACCGCGCGCTAAACAAGTCCTAGTATCGATGCATCCAATCGGGCCTCTAAGGAAGCAGGATCACCTAGCGCATCATCCAGAACACCACTCTTTTCCATTGCCATGAAGCACAGCGCCCGTCTGCAAGTTTCAACAGACAAGGCGTTGCCATGAGTTGCATGCCACTGGATGAACTGCAGGAAGACACGCTTCTCCGCATCCGACAAGCTGTGCCCCTGGCTTCTTCCTGTGCGAAAATTCAAGGGGACTTGTCTGGGCAAAGTGCCTTCGGTCTGCAGCAATTTGAGTATCGATCCCAACTTGTTCCTGTTGATCTTGAGAGGTTGGAGATCTGCACGGATGGAAACTGCATACGCACTTCCACAGCCATCGTCCCCGCGGTGTATCATGGTAGCCAGTGCGCCGTACATCTCCCACCTTCTCTGGTCGTTGGCAACCTAGGACGCATGGAAATGGATAGGAAATCCGTTTCTTGAACTCTCTTTGGGCCTTGTGGGTTTGTGGTTTTGAAAAAGCAAAAACGGACCAAACAACACAAAGAAGTGGCAATGCTTGCGTGTGTCTTTTGCTTGCCGTGATCTTTCAATAGCAGCTTGAGGTCATACGAGGTAGGAACATGCAAAATATCATCATTCTTGCCTTCCTCTGCAATCCCTGCCTTGCTGTCCGCAGCCGGTGTTGAGACATCAAGCAAGGCATATCTCACAGCTGAAAAGGATTCTCCCCACCTTTTCTTCTCCAAGTCCGACTGCTCCAGCCAATGAGATAGAGCATCTGCTTTTGGCGCCCCACACAAGATTCTTGCAGCTTTCTGAAAAACAGTGCACCAGCTCACTGCTTTTGACTTCTCAGTCAAGGCTTCCAAAAAATCTGCATGCGGAACTGCTGCTCTCGGTTGCCATTGTGGGAATAACTTGGCGGCTGCTTCCTCAAGCTTTGTTTTTTTTGGGGGGTCTGAAGCTCTGTCCTCTCACTTTTCTCATCGACGCCAGGCTTGGCGTCAAGAATCTCCTCCTCCAATTTCTCTTGCTTTTGCCAACATTCAAAGCAGCATTCAGGAACTGGAGATTTGTTCTCTGACGTCACTGGGCGCGAGCACTGCACACACACACAACATTCCGTGCATCTACAGAAAAGTCCTCGGCCACAGCGGCCAGAGATTGTAAAATTGCCCCACTTCCAGACCCAGAGTTTGCGTTCCCATCTGCTACACCCTCTGCATTGGAGCTCGACTGGGGCTTCAACAGCTCAGCAAGCTCGTGTTCAAAGCATTGCTTGCAGTATTTAGGTAAGCAACTGCGGTCACTGTTGGGGATATCCAAGTTGCACCCGCTACAGAGAAACGAGTCTGGTGGAGGAGTGGAAGGCGGTGGCAAAGGTGCAGAAGCATCAGCCTCGCTGGCTGCGCATGCTCCTCAAGCAACCCACAAAACAGTAAACTTTGAGAGAAGTCACTGGGTTTTCGGACGATGTAGCGGACGAGGTAGCGGACGAGGTAGGAACCCTACACCTAAACATGCCATGCAGACATCTCCCCACATGTGCTAACCAAAAGCCTCGGTCAACCCTGAACGTCCTGAAACTTCCGAGAGATCCTGCTTCTTACAAACGACGTCACCGTCTACAATTCGACGTGCCAGGCGAGCGCGGTTCTCTGAAACCAGCAGGCTGGTATCATAGGAAAGACCCCATTCCTCGCACGCCTCAAGCAACCGGGAGTGAGAAAAACGGGCGATTACAGCTTCACTGTACTTTTGGGGAGCCATCAGGCTGCAGTCGGAACGAGAAGCAACTGCAATCCCTCAAGTCTTCTTTGGAACAATTCACGAAACTTGCTCGCAAAGTTCCGACTTCCTAGACAAACATGTCGCGCATGTGTACTCAACAAGGAACAGCCAGCTCATGCCTGCCAGGCTACAACAAGTGAAACCCATACGCTTGCTGCTTGGATTGCTGAGAAAAAACAATTTTCCAAGCGCATCAAGCGTCTAAAGGTAAAGCCTTCAGGTTTTTCTGGTTCCCCTAGATTCTGCACAGAATCTACAAATATATAGCCCAGGCTATCCCAAGCTAAACCCTACTGAGCCTGACTCAAACAAAGGTCACACTCACAAACATCCTCTGCTGCAAGCCTCTGACGCTTCAGCGCAGACAGAGACAGCACAGCTTCAAGCGCTCCAGACTCACGAACCAAGCAAGGAGACCGGCTGCATTGCAGAAGCCGGCACGACTGCACACAGCAAAAACATGTTCCACCCCTAGTCAAGCGCTTGTCCGCGCCAGGGGTGCGAAAGTATTCCCATCTCACCTCATGGCGCTTTGCGCCACAAATCAAGCAGGAACCAATGGCGTCAGGAACTCCTGGATCATAGGATCGTGTCGCTGGGTCAATCGCCTGCTCCTTCAACTGCAAGCGCGAAAGTTGCGAGAAGGCTTGAGCATGCTGCTCCCGCAAACGCTTCGCCAGCTTGGCCAATGAAATTTCCTGGGGGGAATCGCTCACTGCTGGTGACAAAAATTGATTGTGCCTATCAAGGCTTTTGGCCGTAGATTGGGGAAAGTTGACTGCTTCCTGTACATATCAAGTTTCTATTGAACAGTGCCCCTAATTTCTGGACAGCGTGTTGGAAAAAACCTTAGGCTCCTTCCATGGATGTTCTCAGGGTGTCTTTGTCTCATGACACTAGTCACTAGCCCCCTCTCCTAAAAACGGCGAGCGAAAGCAAAGGAACAACAACAGCAACAACAGCACCAGCCACAACACCAGCACACCGGGCCAAGCATCTGGAGGTTCTACGGGCTGTTGTCGTACAGCTTGAAGCTCCTGGAGGCGTGTAGCTTGAGGGAAGAAGTGAAGCGAAAAACACGAACAAAAACAGAACCCAGTGAAAGCGAACTCGCAAAGAAGCAGCGTCAGCACCAACAACATGACAGGTACACCAACAAAAGCAAACAAAGAAGACACAAGGAAGAAACGAACTACGAGTACAGTGTCGAGTCTCGACTCCCGATACCATGGTGGGTGTGAGCAGGGCTTGCCACAAAAAACTTCTTATGACCACTAAGAACGATACATAAATAAATACAACAAAATATATATATATAATATATATATATATATATTAGAACTATAGTGCCTGGTCATGCAACACATAGAGATCATCTTTCACCAGCTGCCTCTGGTAATGGAAGAGACCCAAGCAATAACCCCATTAAAGGGCAGAGCTTCCTCTGACAATGGTTAGATGGGACAAGTTGACACGCGATGCCGAGAAAGCCCTGGAAACCTTCAGGCCAAATCCTTGGCCACTGACTCTGGTGATGCTTCCCGTGTTCTCTTCCTCTGCGGCGTTTCCATTGTGAAGCAATCAACGGAGCTGTGGCCACAAATCTTGGGCCAAAGAAAAGGCCAAGCACTGCATATGTCAATCCAAACAAAACCATGGTTCCAGCCCCAATGGAGCAACCACCTTTTGAAAACAGTGGACCCACAATCGCAAGTGACTTTCCCCATGTAACAGAAGAGCATGGGTTGCCTATAGAAGCATCTTGATGCATAGCTTTCACCAATGGCACACCGGTTTTTGGTCAGATCTTCCACATGATAGGCCTCATGATGGGGGTAAACCCAATGTACAGCACGGTGTTCAATTCCGAAAGGCACAGAGACATTAGACACCAAAGTGCTGCATCAGGTCATTATATAATTCAATATCATTGCTATGGTTTCCTTTAAACTCGAAACACAAGCAGCACAGAGTTCGCAACGACTTTTGAAAATAACAAATCACAATGGTACAGGCTCAAAATCATGAATTCGCAACGACTTTCCTGTTTGGGAGTATGCAACAATCAATCATACCAGAGACCTTCGCAGATTCTTCATGCTGTGAGACCTTCGCAGAGCGAATCCTAGGAGCCAATCCCATTCAGAAAGAAAAGCTGTCGTCTTGGTGGTGCAGCATCCAGCACAGTTGAGGAGTTTTCGACAATCCTCGCCTGCGAGTACACGCAATCCTCGCTGGAGGAAATTAGGCAGAAGCACTCTGGAGAAGGAAGCTCACGAGTCGTCAGTTGCCGGGAATGTTCTGTTTCCACATGTTACAACCACTAGGGATTGCATGGAGCAAAAAAAGTAGAGCTTCTGCTAGACAAGCGCTGCATGGGATCAGCGGACGGCTCCAAAAAGCAAGTGTTGCGATCAGAGTCACATGGTGTTCGGGGAAGAGTTGCCGTGGTCGCGTGCTATCTGAGATCAAAAAACACGAAAAGCTGGTCAACTCTGACATCCTTGAAGGGTATGATCATGCCAGTGTCCAATTGATGGGAGAGCTGGATGTTCACATGTGCCGCTCCAGAATAGCTGAGTGACACTCTGAGTGACCTCTGCGGACAAAAACGAATGCAAGGGAAAGCCCAAGTAGAGTCCACCAAGGGCACCATGATGGCATAAGCAGCTACTAGGAGCAAAGGGCATCGCTACTAGGAGCAAGAACGCTACTAGTATATAGCTTGAAGCTACTCGTAAGCAGCTTGATAAAATCTTCAAATAGATCTGAGGATGACCTGCTGACGATTAAATGAGCCCCGAACGTAGCGATGCCCAAAATGCTCCTAGTAGCAAACATTGCTCCTAGCAGTAAGGCCAGGAGCCCTTAGTAGCGTCCTTGCTCCTAGTAGTGATGCCCTTTGTTCCTAGTAGCTCTTGCAGGTTTTGGTCTTGGACTACACTGTAGTTTCACATATCATTACTAGGAGCAATGACGCTACTAGGAACAAGTGCATCGCTTCTAGTAACAAGTGCCTTACTAGTAGTAACAAGAAACTACAAACGGGGCTCCTGGCCTTACTACGAACGGAGCGATCGGACGCTAGCAACAAGGGGCATCGCGACCCGAACGGAGCGAGGACGAACAAGAATCCTTTCTTGGACTTCAGAAGACGCTCATGACCCAACTCTCCACGCTTAAGCTGCACCTCGGGTGCCTTGGAAAGTGCTGGGACCCATGGCCCTTTGATCGGCTGGGATGAGCAAGTGCAAAGGTGGTCAGTAGTTAGCGGTAGTTAGTGAGTAGTGGGTTTGATTCTTTGGGAAACCTCCACCATATCCACTGTGGTTGCTGGCATCTTGTTCAGGAGTCCCCCAAAATGCATCCAAGTGACCAAGAATCTCGTCCATGGTGAGGTCAGACATCATCTTCCTGCGCAAAGCTTCTCTCCGCAAGCGTTCAGCCTTCTGCTCCTCCCTGGCACGTTTCCGCTGTGCAAGCTCCTGTTTCCTGCGTTCCTGCAAGAATCTCTGCCGCTGCTTCTGCAAAGCCATCTCGTCCTTCTTCCGCAAAGCATTCTGCCATCGAAGCAGCAGCTTCCTGACTTTTTGTAGCACCTTGTCAGTAAGCTTTCGTGTCGCATCCGCACTGCGATCGCAACGATCGCGCAATCTAGATGGCCTGTGCTTGTTTCTGTCATTCATGCCCATATGCTGGCGCTCCCAGTACTGCACGTGCTTGTTACGCACGCCTGCATGCGAGACATACAAGGAACGAACTCTCCTCAGCTGCTTGGCACTTCGACCTTCGCCAGCACTGCGCCACATCTCGGCCACAGCTTTCTGAAAACGATCCCACAAGTCTTCTAGGTCCCCCAATCCAAAATGCCAAATCATGGTTGCTCGTCCCCAACTCCGACGCCGGGCGCATTCTCGAAAGGGATCCATACATCTGCGGAGATGTGCCACTTCTCTGACAGAGCGAACTGCAGGGGAGGACACATGTCTGCATGGTCCAAGAAAAAATCCGAAGCTTTGGTGCACGGCAAATCGGGGACTCAAGTCTTCATAGCTCCTGCCAGCGTTGGTACTTCCAGCGTGATCGTGTTTCATCTATCTCTATTAATCTCTGCTTGCATGAAAAGTCTAGTCTGCATGAGCAACCACTTGTGATATATGGTAAGTTATATATATATAATATTGAGCCTGTCTTGTTAGAGACTCAAATGAAATGATTTTTTTACTTACGCTCATCAAAGCATCAATTAAGCTGGGCAAAACAAAAGGCAGTCAGCCAACTTGTAGCTTTGTTGCCCAAGCCTGCCATGCTCAATGAGAGATCTCTCCAAAGCTTCTTGCAGGCAACTCTCAAAGTTTGTTTCGGCATCCCTCAAGGTACCATGCATCTTTTGCTTAATAGATGTGAGAATCACCAAGAATTCAATCGCCGTTGCCAAGTCGCAATACCGGGACCAAATTGAAATTGTCGCGATGACAGTGTTGGCTCTGTAGATGCGACTGTCCTCCGAAATCGTCTTTCGACTACCACACCTAGCAATACCTTTGATTGCCACGTACTTCTTCCTCCGTCGTTTTCCGTGGGACACAGCTGGCAAGCTCAAAGCACTGCCGCCCAACGCAAAAGGCTGGTGTGTCAGCGCGAGCATGGATCCATGTGAGTCGGAGACAGTGACAGGCTTAAGCGGCTTGACTTCCTGGGCACAAGGCCCACAAGGCCCACCAGGCCCACCAGGCATCGGCGTCACATCATCTGTTTCAGCCTCACGCTGAAGCACAATCCACTTTTCAAGAAGCAAGCGTTGCTTTTGCGAGAACTCCCGTGCGATGACATCGTTTCGGAGCTTGCGGGGCAATCTTTTCAAGAGTTCATAGAGCTTTGTCAATAGCTTCTCATGTGAGGATGCATCTGCAGATTCGGCACCTGAATGTCTTGAGCGGTCTGACTCTGCAGCTGAGTGCTTTTGCTCTGGGCGCTTCTTCTTTGACTTTGCCCCCGTTCTTTTACAGCTGTATGTTTGCTTTGTCACCTTCTTGAGAGTTGGCAGTTGATCGTCGTACCGCTTGCGGGCTTCTGGGTCTGCCAAGGTCTCAAATGCCTGGTACACCGCGTGAAACGCCTCCTTGCTCCCACCTCACATCAGGTCTGGACACCACATCGGCAATCCTTTTCAATCGAACCAAAACCATGTCTGCTCGAAAAAAAAAGGAAACAACGGCAATCCATGATTACAGTAACAAGGTTCGCTAGTAGTAACAAGTGCCACGCTAGTAGTAACAGGTGCCTTACTAGTATAGTAACAAAAGGCTATCAATTTACATTTATATACAGTAATTACAAAGCCATCCCGCGCAATGCCATTGGCTGCTCAAATGCTGCTCGCCTTTGTCTGGATGGACCTGCAAGGCGCACCGCTTGAAGGCGACCTTGATCTCCTCAGCGGTGGCATGCGCAGCGATGTTGAGCACACAGTAGTAGGAAGCCATGGCGAGCCGCCCCGTCACTCAGCACTCAAGATCATGCATATTATGAACTCACACCAGAAGATTATCCAACCATTTCCTTTGAAACTGTATCACTAAGTGTCATACTGTATCCCGGATCCTCCTATCTCTCGCACTAATTATCCTCCTATCCTCACTCCTCCTTCTTGGGGTCCAATCCCCGGTTGAAAAAACGGCTTTGCAAGTCTTTGAGGTGCCCCAGAATTCTGGAGGCAACGCTGAAAGAACAAACAACAGTCTTCCACGTTGTTTTCTTCTCAAGTGCTCTGAGCAACAAATCATGCAGGTTTCAAAAAAGCGTTGCAATCTGCTGGGCCGGTAATGGAGCGTTCGCTTGCTCAACTTGTCTTTTGGCTTGGCTTTAAAGTCACTGATGGACACTTGAGCTTCGGAGATGGATTCGGACGGTTGGTTTCTGCAAATGGTGAGGGGCCTCCACCCGAACATGACCAAGCAAGTCTTGGAACGGGAGCTATCTAGAATCTAGGGTGGTTATATATGCTTGTTGGCGACATAGGTAAGTCCTGCCCTGGGTGAGGTTCTATCGACACTGGTGAATCAATTGTAAGTCAGGACGCTTCTCATCAGTGGTGAAATGGTAAATGGTCGCAAATGGTGCCGGAGAAGTGTGTCCTTATGCAGGAACGTTGTGAAGGGTTTACGGCTAATCAGGTGGTGAGGTGTTTAAGTAGCGGGTCCTAGTGGGGTACTGGGAGTGTTTTCAAAAATTTGATCACCGGTGGTACGTGTTCGTCTAGCAGAAAGAACCTCTACACAATCTGGACAGGGTTGCCTGAATCAAGGGCTGCGGCTAATAAAATGTTGCTGTTGCATCCGAAGCAGCACGAGTAGAACCAACAAGTTCCACTTTGCCTGACGGACTGACAGGACTTGAAACAACTCGTTGGAAGGTCGATATGGGAAAATGCCCCAACGCAGAAATCACAGCACTTTCAAGCGACCAGTCCGAGCCTAAGGATATCGCAATGGGATGAAACGATGCCGTTGAAGATGGATCCAAAAGTCTGAGAAAAAGTGGCGGTTGTGGCGCTGCTGCTGCCGTTGGTGACAAATGTGTTGTGCCGCTGTGCTTCGCAAGGAGCACCACGGCAACCCAAGGAGAACTGGCCTGGCACGATGCAATAGTTGGTGGTTTGGGCTTACAAAACGTTTGTTCATAAGGTGCTTCATCTCGGGCAAGGCCGGGCTAAAATCGTAGATCCATGTATAGATCATTGAAGTTAGGTGTGTATGCGTATAATGATCTATATGTCAAGCAGGGAGCAAGGACAAATGCAGGTGTCAGCAGCGCCCTGTCATTGACTCATGCTTTTCGCAACGCCAAGATTGTCCGACCCCCGCATCTCCGCTCATTTTCGGGGAGGTGCAAAGGATACGCAGAATGCTTGACGATCTCGTGAAAGGGACAGCAACCTGTCGGCACCTTTAAAGCCCTGGAGTCTTCTGGAGTTGCATCTCTCAATGGGTTCCAACCTCGTGAAGGACCCACGTCACTTGTGCAACTTCTGTGCCAGGCATCACGGGCAATCGACATGCGCAGGTTGTCCAGCAAGTGCACCCTGTACAAGGATAGCCTACATTGGCTGCTCTCCACGGCAGCCACTCACCTAGATCCTCAAGATTTGATCAAGGCTCCAGGTGGCTGCTTGGAGTTCAAAATTGCAATCTGCTGAAGGTGAGGTTCCCAGCAGCTGGTAGTCAGCTACCTTATCCTGCCTTCTTCCACATGTTCCCAGGAAAGTTGCAAATCTTCAGGCTTCCCTCACCTTCAGCACAACAAATCGGTGCACTTAGCCCTGAGTTCCGCTGCAGCAACAGCAGAATCGGTTGACCCGCGCTTTGAGGTTCGCGATCCTGGTCAACATCTGGACTTTACCTGAGCGCTGGGGAGATCGTGGGAGCGATTTCTAGTGACTTCTGCAACTAGTAGCTCCTGGCATCGCTACTAGGAGCAAGGACGCTACTGGGGGCTCCTGCCATTACTACTAGGAGCAAGAAGCTACTAGTAACAAGGGCATTTCTACTAGTAGCTAGGAATGACCTCAATGTACATTCAGAAGCACTGCTTGGCGAATAGTACAACAAACTCCCACAACACCACCACAGGTCAAATAGACTCTAGGCAGCTAGATTCGGGGATTGTACATATCATGCGTTTGGGCACCTTAAACTTCACCGGCCTCCTGTAATCATCTTTGGCTAAGGCATGCCAAGGCACTATCTCCTCCTTTGTGTCCAGTAGCATCCACCATCACCGTGTTGGCTGCAAAGAAGGCGCAAACGCCGGCTGCATCTAGGAGCACTTGCTGGCCCCTGCTGCACAGCGCTGCCGCCGAGGCCGCCAGCTCCTCTGAAGAGTCCTGGTAGCGTTCGCTGCCCAAAGCACGGCCCAGGGCAAAGCAATCCTGGACTTGAAAACTGAAAGTAACATAAACTAAACTAACACTCACATTATCTCAAATCTACCCGCCAAAAAAAATCCTACAACCTTGGAAACGAACAAATACCATCAAATACCGTGAGAAATCTGGTGAGGCCGGGCCAAGCATCCTCAGAATATGGGCTCACTTGTCCGAAAGCCTTCAGCGCTTTAGCAATGGCCACATGGCCATTGCGTCAGAAGCTACAGCCCACGGCAGTGGTGTAGCCAGCGGCAGCATCCTCCAAACCTACTCGATTGAGGGCTCTGCCTGGGGCCTTTTTGAACATGAAATGGTATGTCTCATACCCATGCTGGATCGGGGAATAGAGCACCGAGCACCATCGCAAGAAAAGGCTGCCGGTGGAAAGCGCAGGAGCCCACTTGTTCATGGGAGAAAATGCCATGAACTTCAACTTGGAGAACTCCTCGAAGAACTTCTCGCCATTTCCCACCATCAGTCCCTGGTTGACATCCTCCCTCACAAATCCAGCTCCCCAGCCCGATCCCTCACGAGGGCCCACATGTTTACATACCTCTGCTGCGCTACCAAATCTGGCTTTGCCCTCGCGCGTGGCTGGTAGCGAGGGTTCCTGCAAAAGACCCGATCCTTCAGCATCCACGGCGCGGTAGAATGCCCGGAAGCCCACGGCCAGTCCCACCACGGCAATCAACTCTGCCAAGCGGAGGAGCCGATCCGCGGGAGTGTCCGGAATGTGCTCCGAGGCCGAGAGGCAGCGATACAAATGCTCGGCTGCCTCCTTGTACCATGCTTCACCTCAAGCTGGGCATGTTGGAGAGGTTGAAGGCTTATATAGATAAGCTTCAGCATGGGCTTAAATAGGCTCAAGGGTGAAGTATGCTGAGGCGGAAATGTCGTGGCAGACCCCTAGTTTCAAGGAATTCAAGTCAAAACCTCCTCAAAGCAACGAGTGGCTCATCAAGTTCTGCAAGTTGCACAATGCGTGCACCACCACTCCCAAGCCATGGCAGTCCTCTGCTTCGTGGAAGGTGCACTTGGCAGCAGCCACCACCTGGAAGGTGACTGCTGAAGAAATGAACATTGTTAAGTGCGTGGAGCGAGGTGGCGTGCGGAACCACAATGGTGCAAGAGGGAAAGAACATGAAAGAGCAGGTGAACAAAAGAAAGAACTTCCAACAACTGTGCAAAGCGGCTGCATGACACCGAACGGCACTGAACTTTTCGCTTTGACCCGTCTAACACTCCAGGACAAATCAATCATTTTCCCGGCATCTTCCGTGACATCTTCCCTTGGTTTGCCCTGGAACGTCCACCACGCCACGTTCCAAAGGTCGTTCTTGTCCACATTCTTTCGCTCGACTTGGATCTTTCTGCAAGCGCCACAGGTGGCTGTTGCCTTCACTAGTAACAAGGGCATTACTGGTAGTAGCTAGAAGCTACTAGTAGTAACTAGTAGGAACTACTAGGAACAAAGGGCATCACATGTACCTAGAAACTACTAGGAACAAAGGGCATCGCTACTAGGAGCAAGGACGCTACTAGGGGCTCCTGGCCTTACTACTAGGAGCAAGAAGTTACTAGTAGCTAGAAGCTACTAGTAACAAGAAGCAGCACTAGCTAGAAGCTACTCCTGGCCTTCAAGGTCTCCCGCACGACGGCAGCACGGAGCTGCCCCGACAAAAAGTCCCCTGGTTCGACCGAATCGACTGGCACTCGGTCTGCCTCTGATCTGTCAAGAGTTGATTAATATTAGTTACTAGTAAGAATGCTCCTAGTAGCGATGCCAGGAGCCCCTAGTAGCATCCTTGCTCCTAGTAGTAAGGCCACGAGCCCCTAGTAGCTTCTTGAATGTAGAATGTCACTGGAACTCCACAACTTATGACTTAAATTCTATGTGAGTCATGATTAGAGAAGGACAAACTTCTCGGCTGGTCGTTGCTGGTTCTGCCTGGCCCGCAAAGCTCCTCGAGGAGCTTCACGTTCGCCGCTTGCATCTCTGCTGGCCGTCCCGACAATGCCGCCATTGGGGACAGCTTGGATGCCACGCACGATTTGGGCCAAAATGGCTCAATTGCGCAAGGTTCACAACCAAATGATATTGGCCTTTTTTTCTTACGGCTTACAGTTTCCCTTCACTGATGGCTTAGCTTGGTGTTGTGCTCTTGGCTCGAAAAAAATCCCTTGAAATACCTGTGAGGAAGGGTGTGCCTTGTGCTCTTGGCGTTCACATCTAGCTTGTTGACAAAGAAGCGAACAACTGACGCATACCCATGAAAGCCTCTGGTCCAGGTATCAGGATGCAAGCCACCTCCTGCACAGTGCGCGGCGCTTCTTCTCTCTGGAAGAAGTTCAAGCATTGCTATCTGGCAATGATAGAGCAACAGCCATCATTGCATCTGAAGCTGAAGAGCATCGCTACTAGGAACAAGAAGCTACTCGGGGCTCCTGGCCTTACTACTAGGAACAAGAAGCTACTAGGAGCTTTGCAAAAGTAACATGCAAAAGCCCGTGAAGTGGCACGGTCCCGCGGGCCCGCTCCTGACGTCGAAGTGAGGCCGCACACCAACTTGGGATAGGACACACAGAG